CAAATTTGAGTATTTTCGAAAGCTACGTCAATTACATAAATTGCTTATTTGCATGGAATTAATTTCACGTCACAACACACAATTATTTAGTTAGGAAAAATTTTTTGTCCAAAATTTCGTTGGCGTCTGAGATATAAGTTTTAATGCAAGTTTTTGCCGAAAAGTATATAAAAATAACTGGTTTTCTTAAAATTTCATACTCTTCGAATATCATTCATTCATTTACTCTCCTTTACAATCTCACATACTTATATTCTCTAATTCAGTATTGCGTTATTTTTATTATAATAATTAATCTATAAAGCTTCTGTATTTTTAAATAAAATAATTAGTTAATTAGAAATTTGTATAGCATAACTTATATTTCATTTAATAGTGCTAAAATGTTTTTAAGTCTTGTAAGCGTAATTTTTTAAGTTATACGTCTTGTGTACTTGATAAAGTAGAGAAAATTACTGTTAATATCTACACAGCGCCCTCTTTTACACGTATTTTACAACCAGACGTGACACAAATATGGAACAATTGAGGTCATGTAGTGCCCAATTTTTGATAAAATGTGATCAAAAGTATAAACATTTTCTAGTTATGTGCAAATTGTGCGCTGCTCATCAATAAACTTTTTTTAAAAATAAAAATTACTCAATTATTGACAGTTTATTGGTATATCAAAAAATTTCTGATTGCACCCAAATAACAATGAATTCTAGCTTCTGATTGAATAAATTGGACGGAATCATTTAATCTGATGCTCACTTGTGGTACTTATCAACTGATTAACTTAATTATTTTTAGTGAAGCAAATTTCTGTTTTGAATTCACAGAATTTATTGCTGAGAAAAGTGAATTTCGGAATTAAGTATTTCGATGATTGCTATTCGATTTTAATTGCCAATGTTGAAGTAAAATTTGCAGTTCCATTTCAGCAATTCACATTCTTTTCCATATTTTAGTATTTTAGTTCAGATGTGAAAAGATTTGCATTCAAGTTGAAAGTCACACAAATATGTCAATTTACTTATATTCTTACAATGCTATACTTACTTGTTCTCGCATAAATTTAGATCTCAAATACTTAATTATTAATTTCAGCGTTAGAAATTAGTTTTAATTCACTTAATGAGGTCTCTATTACTATTATTTTACTTGAGCTACACTTTGTTTAGTAGTCTAAACACTAACAAATATGAAACTTTGATTGTTTGACAAACTTCACGTTCAGATTATCCTTGTCAGTTTTGACTGCAGTAACAGGCATTAATTACTTTTACTTGGTTGGATTTCAAAAATGTCAACTTTTAACTTCTGAAGCATAGTGACAAAATGACCAAATTTGAATTTAACTTCAAAGTTAACAATAAACATTTTAATCAGATGCCTAAAGCTGCTGAAGTGCGAATCCATAAGTAAACTTAAAAAGTTATTTCAATCTTCCACAAATTATCTTTGCTTCACTCTATCATTCTCATCATTTTTGAATAAGTCTTCTGGTTTGGCACTTAAAAGGTTTTCTTTCGAATTGCACCAAACTTCCAACTGTATTTTGTTACTATTTTCGGTACTTTTCGCAATGAAATGGAAATAAATTGAATATTAACTTAATTTTCAGGTATTGTATAGTACATTTCATTCTAGCAATTATGCTATTTACCGTTATTTTTGTGGCATTTATTTTCGCTCGACCAGTTGTAGCAACCATTTATAAAGTAAACATTTGATAATACTTATCTCAACTTGAATAATCTCATCAGAATATAATAGCAAGTAGTACTTATTTGAATTTTTATGCATCAGAATTTTGAATACGATTAAATGTGACACTTCTCTGGCACATACTTCAAAATTTGCATATTTCATTAATTTACTTTAAGCTTCATTATCTTTTTCAGACTCAGAAACCACTAAACAAAGCATATTCATGGCCCCTCCCTTCTTCTAGTTATTTAGGCAAGTATTCTAAGGCTGCCGTCACTTGTGATAACGGATTGTGCAGTGAAATTGGAAGGTAAATTAATGCAAATTCGGTAATTTAGCTTTTAAAATTTACTCTGTCGATTAATACTTTGCTTTTTTTTCCAATTTCAAGGGAAAACTAAAAGTTAAAAAGTTATAAAGTACACACCAAATGCAGAGATTAAAAGTTATGATAACGGATATTTACAGAAATATCTTGATAAAAGGTGGGAATGCAGTGGACGCAGCTATAGCTTCAATGTTTTGCTTAGGAGTTACCAATCCGCAAAGTAGCGGTATCGGTGGTGGCTTCATTATGACACTTTATAATAGGTACCAATTCTTGCAAACATAATTCAAACTTTATTTCTCTCAAACTTGGAATGCTTTATTACAAAAAAACATTGCGGTGAATGATCAAAAATTCAAATTTTTTATGTTTTCAAATTTTCGTACAGTTAAAATGATTAATTAAAATTATTGCATATAATTATTTATGCAACTTTTCAAAAAAAATTATGTTAAAAAATTCTTGCTAAAAAGGTCACATATGCATTAAAGGATTAAATTGTAAAAATATGATCACAAATTCAAATTTTTTAAACCATAAACGATAAGTTGCTGAATAGATTTCTTCCCAACAATACAAGTAATATTAATTATTTGTGCTCTCAATCTATTTCGTTCTATTTTCCTAATTTACACAAAGTATAAGAGTTACATACTATAAAATGCAAACAACAGGGCTGGTTTTCACTAAATTCCTGCATTTTCAATCAAATACAAACAAATATGCACATTTGCGTGAAAGTGCTCACCAGCTTAGTAGCTGTAAGCATTTTTAGAACAACACAAAAATGTACAGTCGTTGATGCGCGAGAAACAGCTCCTGAAAATGCTACACGTGATATGTTTATTAACGATGAATTTGGTTCTAAATACGGTAATAATTCGGATATTTTTTTTGTTGCTAAAATACTTTTGCAAAATTTTTAAAAGTTTAAAATTATAAATTTAATAAAAGTTTAGAATTGGTTAAAAATGGTTGCAAGTTTCTAGCGCAAAAAAATTACAGGATTTCGAGCGATAGCCACTCCAGGTGAAGTGGCCGGATATTGGCTTGCTTTCAATCGTTTTGGAAGTGGTAAGATTTTGTGGTATGATCTGATCAAGCCATCGATTGATCTGTGTCGTGATGGAGTCCCAGTATCAGAATATCTCGCTTATGTGCTTCAAGTTAAAGAACAACACTTCAGAACATTACCTTCTATGCAGTAAGTATTTGATTTTCTGCATATTTAATTTAATTCATTTTAAGAAGTTTATCAGTTATACATTCCTGACAAATAAACTTTTAATTTCTCACATTTTGAATATTTTCATAACTTTATTTACAATACAATATCTTTTTTTAGTATTCACTCTAAAATCTTTATTATTTCTATTATTTGAATAATTTTACTCAAAAATATTTGAATTATAATTTTGCGATTTTTATAATGAAAGTTGTATACAGAAGCTGGATAAGCAATGAAACTGGTAAAGTATTTGTTGCTGGAGATATTATCAAACGATTAGAATTAGGTGATACTTTGGAAAAACTCGCGCTCAGTCCCAATCCCGAAGAACTTTTTTACCGCGGTGAAATTGCTAAAAGTCTGGTCAAAGAAATACAAGAATATGGTTTGTTGTGGTGATCACTTGCATTTCATCCCAATTGACGTTTTTTAAGGCGACAAAGTTATCTAATTTGAGTTATTAGGCAAATTACTTTTGTAGATGAAGAAATTATAAAAATGGAAGTTCATCAGAATATTCAAAGTTTTGAGCGCTTTTATTCTGCAAGACTGAATTATCATAATTATTTATGCAAATTTATTATTTATAAGCAACTTAAAGTAATGAATCGTTGATTTTTAGCGAAATAAAATTGTATTTTAGTGGGAAAGTTTAGATTTATTGTTAATATAATTTAGCGTTTATTATTAATAAATATTAAATGTTAACTTTTTTGCAGTAAGCAAATGTCAGTAATTTTTAAAAGTTATTTTAATAAACTTTACTTCTAAAGGTGGAATCATAACTGAAAATGATTTTGCGCACTTCAAACCCAAAATCTATGAAAATCCATTAATAAATGATCATTTCTCGGGCACTCTTGCCATGTGTGGCCCACCACCTCCTTCATCCTTCGCCGTTACACAACTGATCATATCCCTGATGGCTCGTAAGTTGTCTTCATTACCAACACAATTTGTTAGCACCAACAAAGTGAATAAATTTGAATACAAAATTATCACTTAATTAATCACTTTGTTTTCTTTTGCATTGAAAATGATATATTTATGTTTAATGTCTACTTTTACTTTAGGATATTATGGGCCTAAAACAAGCAAATCAGTGTTAAAAACTGATGCACTCTTTTATCATCGACTAATCGAAGCTCAAAAGTTTGCTTTTGCTCAGAGGACGCTCTTAGGTTTATTTTGTCGAGTTTTATTACATTAAGTGTGAGGGTGAAAAAACTAAAATAAACTTATCTTTGAATGCCTAACTTTTGATAGACTAATATTTAATAAACATTAAATTCGCACATTGTCAGAGACGAAACATTGTTCATTACTTTATCCCTTTTCAATTTCAAGCGTAATTTGTTGATTTACGTAAAGGTGATGAAATTTACGTGAAGGAAGCTGGAGTGATTGCCAGAAATATGACAACAAAAGAATATACAGATTGGGTATTTTCTAGAATGAAGGAAGTGGCTCAGCCAACGGAATATTATGGTGGAATTAAAAAACAAGTAAAGCTATTTTGGAACTAAGAAAAAGTTCGAAACTTTCTTCATGAAATTTTAACCTATATCAATTTGAAATAGCTTTTGATCTACAAAAGTAGTAAAAATGTTCCTAAAAAATTATTTTGCCAACACAGAAACAGTATATTCTGAAGCTTTGAAACTCAGATTCAGATTTTCAGCTGGATGATCACGGAACATCTCACGTTTCAGTTTTGGATTCTCTCGGTAACGGAGTATCAAGCACAAGTACCGTGAATCGATGGTAAATTGAAAAGCAAAACATAAATATTAATATTATTGCAGACAAAAAGAAAATTAAATTCAGATTGTAGTATGGAGAGCTGAGAAAATTAAGCTTGCTATTGTAAAATTTTTCGCTAGGCTATTAACATGAATACTTTGTTAAGTAAATGCGTGAAAATGACAATAATTAAGTTCAGGTTTGGCGCAGTAGTACAATCTGTTAAATTAGGCGTTGTATTTAACGATGAGATGGATGATTTTTCTACGCCAGGTGACTTACGTTAATAATATTTGAATAAAAATTAGTTATAATCAAAGCTGTGAGTAGTTTTATTTAGAAAATTACTTAGAAAAAAATAAGCGAAGCTAAAAAATTAAGCGTTTTAAAAAACTTGTAATGCTTTTAATCAAAATGATAACTTAATTTTCATTGTGATTTATAGTTTTTGATTTCTTTTAAGGTAGTAATTTGAGTTTAAGAAATAAATTTTTGCAAAATTTTAATGCACTTAGGTATGAATAATGGTTTTGGATTTGCACCATCAGAAAGTAACTTCATTGAACCTGGCAAGAAACCAATGAGTAGTATGAGTCCAATGATCGTCTACAATGTTACAGATGGCAACGTTAGCATTTTATCAAAAAATTTATTGCATTTATTAGATACTGTAAAAATTATGTATTAGAAATATTAATTAAATCAATACTAAATTTGATTTTCAATTAAGTTTACAGATTTATTAATAAATATTCTTTGATAGTAAGTTGCGGAAAATTCAGATTGTTATGGTGGTTGGAGCATCAGGTGGCTCAAAAATTATCTCAGCATTAGCTAAACCCGTGATTAGGACATTATTTTTTGATGAGACAATCAAAGAAGCAATCGACGCTCCAACTCTGCACAATCAGTTCACTCCAGATATCACGCAGTTTGAAGAAGCAGTCCCTAAGGTAACAATGGTTTCTTACAAACTGAAAGTTTGTTATGATTGATATTGCTGCAAGTTATTGTAACTTATCAGTTTTCAGGCATTGATGAACGACTTGACTAAATTAGGACAAAAGTTTAAAATCACAACAGGTTTTGAAGGTATTGCTCAGGGTATTATTGTTGGCAAAGATGGTTACATTTACGCAAATGGGGATTACAGACGAAAAACAGATATGCATCCCGGTGGATATTGACGTGGCATTCACTTTCTATCTCAACGAGAATTGTCATTTATGCATTTCACAGTAAACTTGTAACTTAAATTTGATACTTTCTTAATTTATTGTTTGACAAACTAGTTTTATTGTGAGATTTCCAGTCGTTTATTGTGTATCACTAATAAAAAGCATAACAGACAACTTTGGGGTTAAAGTTCACCATTTTGCTGTTATGCCAATTTAATTAATATATTCGAACTGACAAGAAAGTGATTCGAAACTGCTCAAGAATTTTAATTAATTTTTTGTTGAATTAATAAAAGAGTAATTGCTTACTTTTACTTTGCGTGATTATTTATTGATAAATTTTCACAATTACAGTATATGAATTGTTTCAATAAGTGCTTTCATTTCATTTTACTCGCAGTTTAAAGGTAACTATAAAATTATTTTCATTACTTCCATTATAAAAATAATAAAGATAATTTTATAGCTATTTTTATACTTTCTTTGTTGAACTTACTGATTTGAAACGCATTTGACACAAAGTTCAGTATTTATTCAACTTTAATCATCACGTGATACTTCTGCCTCCGTCATTACATACTTGCGATAGATTTTTGTTGACACTTTCTTAAAGTAGACTTCTAGCTTTTCTTTCAGACTTTTCGGTTTCTGAAGAATTGAGTTTATTTATCACTTCAAAAAATATTAGCTCACTTCTTACATTTTGCACTGTCTTTTCATAAGTCTTATGAATTGAATTTCTGACAAAACTGTCCTACAAAATAGTATTTAATGATTTATTTTTAGATTTATTTAATCCATTTTTCACAAAAAAACATTTTAGCTACGAACTACCCTCTTTGTAATCAGTAATGCATGCAAAATTCAATTCACTAAATCATTCTCCTAACGATGATAAAATCAGTAATACTAATTAAAAGCAATCAGTACTTCTTTTTAGCTTTTTATGAAAGATTTGCAACAATGAGTTCATTCACTCTTTGTAAATGAAAAATGGTTTTGGATAACCAAACATCTGAATATTACAGTAATCGTGACTGTATTTTTGCAAAACAATCAATTTTGGAATAAGTTTACTTCCAAAATTCAAAATTAACACTGATATAATAAATACAAAAGGAAAACCCAAAAGTACATATTCAAGCTGTTTGTACTATTTTAGTACAATTATTTTCAAGAAACAGACAGTAACTAATTTTTGTACAAAACAGATATTGGCAGAGAAAAGATTCAGTTCTTGAATTTGTTCATAATCAAGGAAATTCGAGCAAACATTCTCATTTCACTTATACTGCATTGCTTCCAAGTCGTCTTCGTATGTATATGCTGAAGAAAAGTTTATCTACCAGAATTTTATGCAAATTTTACTAGTCAAAAAATGATTATCCATCAGAGCTTTTCGATCTTTCAATAATTTTCTCAAAATTCAAATTTGAGAAATAAAAATAAACAAATTAAAACTCCTCCAAGTGCAGTAAGTTTGGAAGAATAAAATTAAGACAAATGAAAATAAATTTGAAAAAACTAACACAGTCGAACACGTCTGATGCAAGTTTCTGATTCCAATTCAAATCCTAGACCTTCGCATAACTGCTTCATATATTTTGTCGACACACCTTGCTGGCGCTGAAAATAATTTCTTTCACAAATTTTCGAGATTTTAATAAGTTTCAGTAAATTTAACCCAATTTATAACTGTAATTATTTGCGCAGAATATATGCTTTCAAGCATGCTTTTCAGTCAATTTTTGTACAAAACTTGCCAATAATGCAAGCTAATTAATGCAAAAGCCCGGTGAAAAACTACAAGAGTAATCTGAAACTTGTGATTTCCTAATAACGTTTAAAAAAAATAATAGTATAAATCAATGAAATAAGTAATTTATTACTAAGTTTAAAATGCATGTCCCTTTCATTGCGTCAAATATCCACGGCGATTCGCAACAAGATGGTGGCGCAAATGATCCTAATGAAATGAACATAAAACTAATAAAATAATACTTAAAGTATGCTCTATATAATAAAATAAGCATAATTTCAAACAGCTATCTCATTATCAAAATCTTAAATTATCAACAAAAAAAGTTTATATAAATTAGTTTCTAAATTAGTATCATTAGAAACTAATTTATATAAACTTAATATTAAAAATCAAATGCAATTTTACTATTTGTATCTCTGAGTCACATTCAAAAACAATATGACAAATAGAATGAAATTCAGTAATAAAGAATGAAATTCAAGTAAGAATAAATTGTAAATAAAACACGTGAACTTGCAAGCCAACCACATCATGTTAACATAATTTGACCTTTTAGAACGGTTGGGCTGGAAAGCCTAGCTCTGTTGACTTCTGTAGCTGCAGAAATTTCTTTTCTCGTGGGGTTCCCAACTTGCTCGTCCTTTTCAAATTTGATATCTGCGAAATTTTCAGAATCAATCGCTTCCCAAACATCACTGCTATCTGCTCCTTCTGCTCTGCTTGCATAAAATTGCATGCATAACAAAAATAACAAAAATAGTGATGCAACAGCCGCGTGGTGCATTTATCACTCATAAAGTTATACCTTTACAAGTTATATTTGCTTAAATTAATTATTAGAAAGCTAAAATTTGCATATATACGAACAAGTTGTTCTACAAATTTCGTTTTCATTTTCACTTCTAACTTTTTGATTTTCATTCCACAACGAAAAAGCATCAAAGCGAAAACAATTCATATCGCATTAAAGGGAAAACTATTAACAAAAACAAATTATGTCAGCATTTTATCCATAACAAAAATAGCAAGTAATTAGCTAGCTAGCTAGCTAGCTAGTTAGTTAGTTAGTTAGTTAGTTCTATTTGCTTTGCTTTGCTTTAAATCAAATACAAACTTATCGACGTGAGAGGGATTTATTTCGCATAATTCCTCGTACTTTTAGAAATTGTATAAATTTTGCCCCTTTTAGTATTCGCTAATTCATTTTTTTTCTTCATTTACTGTCACATAAAATTATTCATCAAATGAAAAATACAGTGAAAGAAGTCCTTACATTTTTTGCACCATAAATTAGCCTTACTGACCTAATTGCCAGTCTGCTTTTTCGCGCATAAGATACCATCTTCTACCGCATTCCCAATCCACTTGCGCTAAAAATTTCTGGCAATTCAATGAACTTTTTTGTCTTGTCCTACTTGCCCAATTTTTTACTCCGAGAATTCCTAATTTTTACAACATTTAATTTTTAAATCTCAATTTAATAATTTTAATTTTCATCTATTTTTTGCTTGAACATTTATCTACATTACTGTCATTTTCGCACCTTAATTTAATTTTGAAAATAATAACGGTAATATTAAATTTATTGCTCAATTTTCATGCAATAACGACAAATCTTGATTTAATAATTTAATTTACAATTAATTAAAGAAGTATCATATGATTTCAAACTTGTTTACGCTCATAATCTCGCCAGCAGGAACTTTGAGAAGAATTAATTTATTATCGTAATTTTTAGTTTTTGTTATTTGTTTGAAATTTGAGACGTAAAAAAAGGTACAAAATCTTGTTTTAATTTTTTTGAATGCTTTTTGTTTGATATCATATCAAACTTACAACAATTCTTCTGATATTTGTGATGAGATTTGAGTGAGATTGATCAGTCCAATCTGATCTCATAAATCAGATCAAAAAAATGCTACTAATATTTTTTCATCAGCAATTAATGTAAAATAACAAAGTATTACAAATGATTTTAGATGCAGTGAATTTCTCGTCGATCTTTTTGATTTTGTTATGATATCAAACATTGTCATCTGAAGGTTTTAGCGAAATTGTACCTTAAGTAAATGTAATATTTTTAGTGGCAGTTTTAATAAATTAAAAAATATATGAAAAAAAATAATTAAAATAAGTGTTTAAATTTGGTTTACACGAAATCACTTGAATTCCAAATCATTTGTAATAAACAAAAGTAATTCATTTCTTACATACTTTTTTAAGAAATCTATTTTAAATTTTTGAATATTTCAAGAACTAATTCTTTCCGACAGAAAGTTTTAATTGCTTCAAGTCGCGCATAAAAGTGAGGAAAAAATATATCGATGAAAAGTATCGAGATTTTCAGTTATAATTTATGACTTAATATAATTTGATGTGAAAAGTAGAAAAGAACTGATCAAATTGATCATTAATTTTGATCAACACTGACCACTACATGTAGTGGTCAAACAGAATACTTTGATAATTATCCGTATAAAGACTTGTCTCTAAATTTCGTGAAGAAAAACACTTCTTAATTACGAGAATTTTTTAACAAAGATTAGTTTCGTTTAAAAATTATAAATTAACAGAAAATAAAGTCTATCACAAAATGAAGTTTGTGATTATCAAAGGTCAAAAGATTTGTTCAAGATTGAGCAAAGTGTTAGTAAAATTGGCAAGAGGGTTATTGACTCGAAAAGAAGATCGGAATGGGAGCGAAAGAATTAAGTTAATTGTCGAATGATCTAATGAATGGTTGATCAGTTACAAATGAACTGTTTGCATCAGTTGAAGACTCAAACTGTATCAATACTCAAACTTTATCAACAGCTACACTTATATACTTGACCTAAATTGGAAGTTCACCATCGGTAGAAGTTAATTTGTTTACAAGTAAACATCACTTGATTAAGAAGTAAATTGATATGTATGATATTCATTAAAAAAATTAGTTTGAAGAGATAATGAGTATTGTACATAAGAGTGTACAAATTCATGTCCTTAAAAATACAAGCACACTTAATTACGTTTGTAACACTTTCACGCCTAAATTAGCACACTGACATAAGGCATCATATAGAAGAGAAAAAAAAGTAAACTGCTGTAGATCACGTTTTTGTATTCAACGTACAAGCTCATGCATTTGCATACATAGACTTAGTTTTAGTTGAAGTAATGCTAGTTTACTAGCGGAAATTGCGTTGAAATTTACGATAAATTTTGAAAATATTTTGAAGCGTAAAAAATTTGTTAAAAACGGTTAAGAATTTCCAGTTTTTAGCATTTTTTTGTAGCATAGATTTATTTCTGAATACTATCCAAAATAATTTGAATGCTACAGAATAAGCAAGCACAAATTAAATTGAAATCTTAAAAATATTGTCGTATTGTTGAGATTCTTGACAGTACTGAAATTAATTCAGGATTTTTCACTTTTCAAACTTTTTTCTAATTACTCTGTCATCCATTTTGCAAATATTGAATTTGAAGGTGATCTCCTTGATATTATACCTACAGGTATTATTGATAAGTTATTGGTAAACCAGAGCTTGCAATTTTACTTTTCCTATAAGTAAATTCTGTAGTAAAGCTCAAAGACAACTGCTTTTATTTTAAATCAGTACAAAATTCATAATCATAGTAAAATTCAAATTCATTCGTCAAACAATGATTCATAATCATAATATTGTATTGTTATT